AAGCTCGACACTTTGCCGATTTAAACGGGAGCCAAGACCCGTCCGGCGTGGAGACAACTCTGGCAATGAGTGCACTGTGAATTTCTCATACGTGAGGCCCCGGAGCTTACCACGAGGCTAACACGAGCTACCCGTAGGAGCCGTACGAGAGCGCCACTAACACAGGAGATACCGCGTACATTCAAATGCATACGGCACCTGCCTACCTCGCGCAGGTGCCGAGGCAAGTGCGTACCTCGCTCGATTGACCACACTTGTGAACCTCGAGGAGCTGCAAACCTCGCGCATTTAAAGACCTCGATATGTTGCATAAATCTCGCGTAGCTGACAACCTCGCGCACTATTAAACCTCGCTCAACTGTGTACCTCGCGTTGTTGCAAAACCTCGCTAGGCTGCATAACTTGCGCAGCTGAAGTAATCGCGTACGTGCAAACCTCGCGCAGATGCACAGCTCGCGCAGTTAAAGAGCTTGCGCACTTGCAAATACCTTGCGCGATTAAATACCTCGCGAAGTTGCGGACCTGGCGCACCTGCATACACCACGCACTTGCAAACCTCGCTAGGCTGCAAACCTCGCACAGTTATAGACCTCGCGCACTTGCAAATACCTTGCGCAATTAAATACCTCGCGAAGTTGCAGACCTAGCAAACCTGCAGACCTCTCGCTGGCGCAAGTCTCGCGCACTTGCATGAACTTCCGCAGATGCAGGTAACGCGCAGATGAAAATCTCGCGCACCTGCGGGTCTAGAGCAGTTATAAACGTCGCTTAGTTCGAGACCTTGCGCGGTAAAAAACCTCGCACAGCTTGAAGTGGTCGATTTACCTCGCGAAGCTGCAGACCTCACATGTTTGCAGACCTGGCCAAGTCAGGGCAGTGGCGCAGTCGCGATCCTTGCGCAGCAGCTGACATCATGCAGCTAAACACCACACGCAGGTGAAAACCCCGCGCAGACTAAAACCTGGCTGAGACGCAACGGCATTTTTTGCATCGCTCAGCTGCAGACGTCGCGCAATCACGAACCTCGCGCAGTTAAGGACGTCGGGGAGTCACAAACCTTGCGCAGCTGAGGGACTCGCTCAGGTGGAAACCTCGCGCAGTCACCATCATCTCACACGGAGTTCAGCAGGCCGCCGTATAGCCTCGTAACTCTGTTTTTTGAAAATTTCGAGTTATGAAGTGAGTCGGATAGAGAAAACCGAGGGCTATCGACCAGCGAAAACCGCATTTCAATATGTCAATTAGTTCAAAAGTTATTCTGATCTGAAAATCCAGCCGCCCATAAGGCGCAATGTTAATCCAAAACTTTGAAAAGCTATATCTTAGAAGTGACTTTCAAGCACTTACGACGTTATACGGAGACCCGCTGAACTGCGTGTCTATACGGAGCTCCCTGGAACTACGGGTTTATACGAAGACTCCACGAACTCCGTGCTTGTAGGTTTTAGGTGTCGAAATGAGAACTGTCTTTTGGATTCTTCAAAAGATTAATTTCAATGGAAGGTTGAAATTTAAAATGTTTCCTGAAGTATGAATGCCTAAGAGCAGGAGTAAAAAGGCATGTCCCAGGAGCTTCCTTATGGTGGGCATTAAAAAGGGGATCCATAGACAGAACCCCTCTAATAACTTTAGACACAGTCTCTTCAGATATACCAAGTGACACCAGTGCCTTCTTTAAATCTGCTCTTATTTTATCTTGCACTACACCAGATAAAAAGCCCATTTCTTGAGCCACAACATTCACAGTGCTCTGTGGTACCAGTAGTTTGCCTTCCAGCTGGCATAAAATTGTCCAGGAAACTGAAATGTTTCATCGTGAGAAAAGACATTTCTGTGGGATACATCAGAACTTGAAGGTGAAGCAAAAGAATGTGAAACTTCATTAATTGGAGTATACGAATCTTCAATGTTTGACTTATCACTCGGTGGATTATAAAGTCTAACGATAGAATCAGAATCAGCTTGTTGAATCGCTTTTCGTTCCTGAGTGAGTGCAGTAGTATAGTACTGTAGTCTGTCCTCCATCCTGGATGGCACTGGCTTAGATGAACATTGAATACACTCACAGTAGGGATTAATTCTCTTCTTGTGCAGTTTGGGTCAAAATAAAGGGGACACATGACAGAAAAACCCTCTTTAACATGATTCCTAACATGTTTGCAATATTCCACAATTGTCTGAATTTCATTGTCACAGTATGTGCACTTGAAGCCATTAACTTCTCCAACAATTTGATCACGTTTAATCGTGTGCTGACTCAAGTGTAGAGAAGCCGAACGCACGAGCTTTTGACGGGATCTGAAGCCCGGGCGGTTTCGGGTCGAGCCTGGGCTCGGCTCGAAGTGTTCGCACGAGCCGAGCCGAGCCCTGGCCCAGCGAGCCCGTCGAGCTCATCGGGCCGATTCGGGCTCGGGTAGGCTCGAGCTGGCTCGACGGCGTGCGGTGGGGTGGAGTGGAGTAGCTGACGCACAACACAGCACGCCGGCCGTGTGGCAGCGTAGTGAGGCGGCTGGAGGAAGGGGGCGGGCGAGAATCCATGGCTCAAAAACGACTGCCCGTCCAACAAAATCCGATCTGCCCCCCCCTCCTGTCACCTATCAACAATTGGTGAGAGTACGTGAAGGGTTATGAGGTCACATTTTGCAAATCGAATGTTGTTGCAATAGGCTGTCGCGTAAAAGTCTCTCTATGCAGGGAGTAGCTCAGTACCGTTCACCGTACAATCCATGACATTTCATTTAGCATTTAGTACTACAATTTAAGTTCACATCAAATTTGTCACGTCAAATATTAATGAAATATTGCCGTAAAGATCCAATATTAATGTCTGAAGTATTGCTGTTTGAGCCACAAGTTAATCTGATGAAACCGTGGGGATGTACCCCATGCCGGCGCCCCCACTCTCCTGCTACGTCGCTCAGCTAAACATTTCGCAACACTTCGCTATACCCCCCTCCCGATCATCCGGGCCTCTCGGGCTTTCGGGCTCGGCCAGGCTCGTTCGGGCTCGGCTCTGTGCGTTTGCTCGGGTCCGAGCTCGAGCAGGCCCGGCACCGCTGGGTCCCCCCTCCCTGGAGCAGCGCTCTAGCCCGGCGTGGCCCGGCGTAGCTCAAGCGGCAGCCGGCCCGAAAGCTCGTGCGTTCGGCTTCTCTACTCAAGTGAGCATTCAGACTGTCATATGAGCTGTATGAAGAGACACAAAAAGAAAATGGACAACAAAACTCAAAGTTGTGCATGTTGGCGTGACTTTTCTGATGGTTGATGTGTTCATTTACTGTGCTGGCTTTGAATAAGCAGATAGTACAGTCCTTCAGATATATTGCTGATCTTGGTCCAGGATTGGGCTCAACATTGCCAATTATTAACAGC